GGGGCTCCCCGAGAGGCCCCGCCCCGTAACCGGCTCCGCCTCGGGCCCCGCTGGACTCGGACCCCTGGTCGCCGGCTTGGCCCCGGCGCCGCAAATGAAGCCATGCGTGGGGCGGGGCGCGGTGTTTATTTCCCCAAAACAGCATCAGAAGTCCTGTTGCTGGCACATGGCGCCGCAACGCGCCTGCTTCACCTCCTTGGGTGGAAGACAGCCGGGAGGGCCGCCCCGCGGGTCCCCGCACCCCTTGGCTTTCTGCGAGGGTGGGGGGCAGCGGAGTCCTCACGCCCGCGGTCGGGGGCCTCTTCCAGGCCGCGCCGTGGGGGCGGGGCGCACGCAGGGAGAGGTGACGTTCTCGCTCCCTCTGGAATCTGCGGGCTTGTCCGTGCAGCCTCCCAGGGGTGCCCGGGAGGCCAGCCAGGGCCATATTTCTCTGGGGCCCTCCCCCTTGGGGACAGCAGTGAACATGGGCAGCTCAGTGTGCAGAACTGAGCGGGGAGGCCAGCTGCGACGGAGCAGTGGGGGTCCCCACCCAGAACCCAGCCCAGTGCTGCCTCAGCCCAGGTGCGCCCTCATCCCCACCCCTGATCTGCGGGCCTCTGGGAGGCAGCCGCAGAGCTGTAACCAAGGCAAGTGAGTGCAGGGCGTGTGTTGGGGGTGGGGCCCGGCACCTGACCCTTCCCCCCTTAGAAAGCCACAGCAGGAAGAGGGGCTGAGCAGGGCAAGACCTAGAGGCTTGGGGAGACTGAGGCAGGCTCCTCTTCCAGGCAGGGAGTCCAGAGCTCAGGCCCACGGTGGCCTCCTGCTCCCGTCTGCCCAGCCCAGGGCTTAGCCAGCACTGCCTGGCACTGCCTCCGCTGGCCAGCGGGCCACGCCCTGGACAAGGCTCTGGCCTGGTGGGAGCTCCCCACCCAGGATGGAGATGACGCAGGGTGGGCAAAGTCAGGCCAAAGGGGCATTCAGGCTGCAGGGCCCAGGAGAGGGCTCTGACCCAGCCACGGGGAGCTGGGGGACAAGGAAGGCTTCTCGGAGGAGGTGACACTTGTGTTGGGTTTGTCAGGCGAGGAGGGGACAGAAGGAGGGAGCAACCCAGACACAGGCCTGAGTCAGGAAGAAACCAAGTGTTTGGGGAGAGGCAAGGGGCCTGAGTGGGCGGCCAGGGACTGGAAGGCTGTGGGCAGGGCCTCTGCCAGGATGGGGTGGCATCGCCCTGGCACCAGCTGCTCTCGGGCCAGTTCTGTCCACTACTCTGCTGTGGTGGTCGCAGTGGCTGTGGAGGTGGCCACTGGAGGCCAGCCCTGGCATAAAGGGCATATATGGTGACTCTCGGCTGGGGCCTGGGTGGGGTGGGGTGCCTGGTGAGGGTGGTGCTGTGTGGAGGGTGCTGGAGTGTGGCCTTGGTGATACAGGCCCAGCCTGGGTGGCGGTGGTGGCCGTGACGGTGTGCCGTGGTGCAGAAGGGTGGCCGTGACTAGGGGTGCGGCTCGAGAATGCCCGT